CAATAGGTAAAATAACAACCATTGATAATGTCCTACCACTTTGTCTGTGATTCGGTAAATCCCCCTATTACTATGTTATCCTTCTTTTACTCTTTAAAATAAAAAAAAAAGAGTTTAATTCTGTAAAAGAAATTCAGAAAATCAAAGTGAAAAATTAGATCAGTTAAACTCTTTAGTTTTCTAATTTGTGAAATAAGGAGGTTAGATTAAATAACTGAAACTTTTTACCACATTTAACATCATTTTTAAAGGAGCTCCAAAAAGTCCCATGATTTTAGCACCCTTTAATGAATCCATGAAATGTGTCAAACATTTAGCACTTTGAACATACTTCGTTGAATTTTCTCATCACTCATTACCATCATAGGATAAGTATTTTTATTTTAAAGAGAAGAAACTAAAGTATAAAAAAGTAATTTGCCTATGCTCATTGAGAGGTAGGGCTGGTGGTCATATCCAATAGTTGATTCTTCTTGCAGTGCTACTGTGTTGAGAATCAGTGATTCTCAAGAAAGGAAGTGCATACCAGAATCGGGAAGGGCAGGAAGAACCCTTCACTTTGTGTGCATCCCACATTTTTATGCACTGCCTTTGTGACTTGTATCTTGATTTCTTCTCTCTCAAATGATAATTATTATTGGTGGAACATGTAAACAGCAGGAAGGCAAAAAAGCGTTGAGCCCCTGCGTGGTGTAGCTGCCAGAGCACACCCAAGCAAGTTTGTAATAATTTAGGACATTAATATGTCGCACTTAACGTTTCTCTTAAGACTCTGATTTTCTTTACTTGATAAGAAATAGTTATTTTGGTTGCTTTTTGGTATGAACTTCCATAAACATCCATTTTAGGTTTCTTAGGAGAACTTCTCTGGTTTTCCTGATACAACTTTCTATCTTCACTCTTTTCTTCCCTAGCTCATGTTTTTTTTTTCCTCCTGTTGTCCTGATGGCTGTCAAAGCCTTTTGAGGCTTTTTTTTCAAACAAGGACTTGCTTTGTAGTGCAGGCTGGCCTTGAATTCACTGTATTGCCCAGGCTGGCCTCAAACCCCTGCAGTCTTCCTGCCTGTCTCCCAAGTGTTGGAGTTATAGGTGTATGCCACCATGCCCAGCCTTTTGAGTGTTAATGAGTATAAACAATTAGTGGAAAAATACAGACAGATGAATGAATTTTTTTACCTTGCTAGGGAGCCATTGAATTCCTGAATTTGAAGGCATGAAGTAGTACCCATATGTCTTTTAATATTGCCTCTCCGGTGTTCTCTACACAACCCCATCAAGGAGTCTGATGAAACATCTGCAGACCTTCTCATTATACCCTCCATGTCTGTGACGTTTCTTCACGTTTTTCTTCTGTCTTTGCTGCATTCTGGATAGTATTTTGAGTTCTATCTTGTAGTGTAGTTGACTGATTTTTTTTTTTTTTTTTTTTTTTGGATAATAATTTAGTTCTTATAGCTTTTTATTTGTTGATGTTTTATTTGGTTCTTTTAAAACTAAGCTCTTGATAGTCACTTTTTCCTTAATATTTTAAAGTACTTACTTACATCTTTAAACAGATAAAAAACATACTTATTTTATGCTCCATACTTGATAATTTTTAATTCCTAAGGATCTTTGAAGACCTGCTTCTCTGTCTTGTTTTTATAATGGTGGGTGGTTTACTTGTCTATTTTATGAGTTTTGATTCTGTTTATTGGTACTTTGTCTGTGGAAATTATTTACTTTTGCTAGACAGCTGGGCACAACCAGTCTTGGAACAGTTTAGACTGAATTCCATTTTAGTACTTTTAAACAAGTAGATAATGTTAATACTAGTCTCTAAGGCAGCTGGAGGGCCAGAAAGGAGCAGTTCTTCTCTACTTTGTTTCTTGTATGATCTGCACAATAGTAATTTTTTGAGGAATATGTTACTAAATGTTGTATTAAAAATGCAGTGAACTCTTTAGGCAAATGCTTTTGGAAAAATCAGATTGAATGATGTAAACCATTTTTTTTTTTTTTTTTACAGCACAACCTCTCAGGGTATTTACTAGGCAAATAGGAATCTTGACAGTATTTATGTCAGTAAACAGAATTTTTCTTGTTCCACTCCACTCCTTGGGAGGGGTGTATACATGTGGAGTATTTCATGGGGCCAGTGAAACCAATTTGGAATGCACTTGGGCAAATAAAGGCTGGCCCCTTGGTAACCCTGGATTTACTGACCGCCTTCTTGCTGTCTCTCCATTTGCACCATTCTGCTGTATGACGTGTGTGTGTGTGTGTGTGTGTGTGTGTGTCTAGCTTGTATTTAAACTCCTGAGGAAAGATGTGATTGTATGTGGTAACCTTTAGCCTCAGAGGAGGACATTGTCATTGAGCAGAGCTCTTGTATCAGGCTCATAGGCTTCTGTTAAGTTTGCTTCAGACCAGTTGGACCAGGAACCTAGCCAATGAGAGTAGTAGATACATAAAGATTTTTTGTTTGTTTTGTGTTCTGTTTGTTTTCTGTCTCTTCTGGTTGAGTATAAGTGTCCTGAGATCATGTGTGTCTAACTTATCGTTGTTTCCCCCATTGAATGTTAGAAGTGATGTCTGTTAGATGCTGGGTCATGTGTATGCATTAGAGTTAGCCTTTCCGTTTGTCAAGCCTCACAGTCACCTGTAGGTGGGGAGATGGCTTGTTTGGTACAGATGGTTTCCTTTTTGTGTCTTACTGGATCCTCCGGTATCTTTTGAGTAGAAATCAACTCTGCTAGACTCTGCAAGCATCCCAAATGAAAAGTAAGTTCTCTTAAATGTCTCCCCTTCGAAAGATCATTTTCTGCTTTAGGATTCAGCTCAGATGCCATGTTTTTGGTGAAGCTGTGATTTTTCTGATAGTTACTGATTCCAGTGTTGGTATTTCTACTGCATTTTGTACACACACATCAAGGTGTGCTTCCTGCCTGCATTTTTGTTTTTCTTGCCAGACTTTGAGTTTATGGAGAGTAGAAATGACACATGGAAGTGTGTTAGTCACCTTTCTATTGTTGTGAAAAATTACCTGGAGAAATCATCTTTGAAGAAGGAGCGTTTTATTCTGGCTTATGACAACTTCTGAGTTCAGTCCACAGTTGGTTGGTTCCTGTGTTTTGGGACCTGAGATGAGGGGAGGCAGGGGAGAGGAGGAAAAGAGAAGAAAAAGAAGAAAGGGAGAGCATGGTTCGATTTTTAAAATGGAAACTGTTGAGAAGGTATGATTTATTAACGAAATACCTACGTTAAGCCAGTGATGGAATGCATTTTCTCTTTAAACTGAGGTGTGTATTTATAGACATTCAGTTATCTTAAATATCTTAATTTTGAATAACATCATAACTAATTTTTATATCTTATAAATCATTTAGTACTTGCCACTCTCCTCCTGATAAGTTCTATTTATGTCTACTTCATTCCATCAGATTTTTTTTTTTTTGGTACCAGGAATCAGATTTAGGACCTTGAGCTTGCCAAGCAAGGCACTGTGCCGCTGAGCTATATCCCTGGCCCTGTACCTATTTTATACATGACTGATATACATAAATATCTATATATCTATATATATATATCTCAGAAGTTAGGTATCTTTCCATGGATCACATAGCTTGTGAGTAGTAGATGTATTTAGAACTTTGAGATAGGCCTGCAGAGTCCAGTATTCTTACCTGGTACACTCTATTTATATACTGTAAGTATGTAGACATAAGCATACAACTATTGTAAACATACTTGGTACTGTAACTGAACATTAAATCCTGATTGCAAATCTGTGATGATGTGTATAGTACATTGCTTATTATGTTATGATATAATCCGTACAGGCTTTTCTTTTTTTACTATTTGATGTGATTCTATAAACATTATAAAAGGCTTAAAAGGACTAGATTCTCAAGTCATGTATGTGTAGAGAGCATTAAGTTTTACACACTGTGTATCTGAAAAGTATACATTTTGATAGTGAGGTGCAGTCATTTTGGGAATGAAAAAATCCAGTAGCATTTGTTTTCACTACCATAATAGTCCGGTGATAGCTTGTACCAATGAGGTCGCATGTATCTGAGCTGACCTCAAAGTTAGGATGCCCCAGGGGTATGCATCTTAACTGGAAATGAGTCACCACTTTATGTTTTGCCACCAATAAGATAATAAGCCTTTCTTTTATGGCTGTCAAGGGCTTTTATATTTCTGTTGACAGCAGCTTCTTAAATTAAGGAAAAATCTACTTAAGGCAAAATATGTTAAATCCTTAGAGACAGTTGCTTTATTGTCCCAGTTCTATTAGCTTATATTTAAAACATTTATCCTAAATGGTGAGTACCACACTGCACTCTAGAAAATTGTAAATAGAAGCATAGATTATATTGAAAATAAAAACAACTTGTATTCTACAAATAATCATGAAATCAAAAATCAAATCTTAGTGTTGATGGGATAAAATGTGTAGGTTACATTGAATAACAAGGTTAAAAAAATGTTCCTGGGGGAGCAATACCTTGTAGATGTTTTGTAAGTCATTTTTAGGTACTGAGGGAAGCATTTTTTTGTTTTTAAAATGAATAAAAGAACTCCCAACATTTTTTTGTTTTGGTAATTCTACATTCACATAGTAATAGCAATAAAGGCAGAGGTTATTTTGGTCATGCTTTTTAGAATTTATGCTTTGTGTATGGGGAATGGGAAGACTAAAGTGAAAAAATTTCACTTTATGTTATTTCAATTTATATTGCTAAAACATTAGTAAACAAATATATTTATTTATGATGAATCATGTATCTTATGTGCTTAAATGTCTAGTACCCATGGAATTTTTAGTGCTTGAAAAATAAAGAGAATTTTTTTCCTCCCCCAGAAACGTGCTAAGGGACAAGTATTATTTGACAATGTATGTGAACACCTCAATCTCTTGGAAAAGGACTACTTTGGACTTTTGTTTCAGGAAAGCCCTGAGCAAAAAGTAAGTGATGTTAGCTTTATTCATGTCTTTTTAGAAAATAGTTGTTATTTTTTTCTTAACCAGTTTATGTCAGTATAATGTTTAGCCTTAAAATATATTAGGTGTTCATTATGACAAATTTTTACTTACTATAGAAACTTGGTAAATATTTTAAAATGATCTTGTGCGAAAGAATCACTTAACTTTTTGATGCACATAGGTGTGTGCGTGTGCATGTGTATGTATATGTGTATTTTGTGTACTTTCCATTTAAATTATGAGTGGACAAAATATCTTGCATTTAATTATATCAGATTAAAAGGGCTGATTTTAAAATTTTGTTTAAAATTTAGCTGTTGAATTCCTAGTAGAATCAGTTCAAGAATTTGTGTGTGTGAGATATTTTAAAAATACATACCTTGAAGTAGAAGATTTACAATGGTGGGAAAATTGATATTCTGGCAAAGAGGAAGGGAAACATAGACTTTGAAAAAATGTATTACCTAGTGGGTATGGTGGTGCATACCCATAATTCCATCTCCTAGGAAGAAGAGGCAGGAAAATTAATGAATCTGAGCCTAGCCTGGGAAATTTAGTGAGACCCTGTTTCAAAATAAAAAGAGCTGGGGATGTAGCTCAGTGGGAGAACACTTGGTCTACCATATATGAGTCCCAAGGTTCAAACCTCAGTGCTGCAAAAAAATAAAAAATAAAAAAAGATTGTGTTACTCACGACCTATTCCTGGCTTTTGGTGCAGAGTATGCATGCTGGTCAAATCCACTCACACTTTCTACATTGTGCACTAAGCATGCCTCAAAAGCTGCCAAGGAGACACGTTGTAAGGGGTGTCATAAGGGTATCCACGTGTACTTGTTAGGAGACTCAGGAGAGAGTGGATAGAGGTGAGCTGGTTGTGTAAAGTGCCCTGTTGTTGGGTTGTAGGGACAACAGAGGAGGTGGATGCCAGCTAATTCAAGATTTGCCAGGCATCAGGAGTGTGTTGAGGTTGTTTCCGCTCCAGGAGTTTGTGAGATGCTAAGCAAGAGTAATCTGATGCTTAATGCTGAGTCAGGGAACTTCAGGACTTCTTAATTTCATATGTAAATTAAATCTAGAAAGAAGTAAATATTAACCAGTTCTGGCAGAACCTAAGTTAACCTTGAGGTCTTCCTCACTGTTAGGAAAGTGCTTTTCCCCTTCATTTCTACTTCACTTTCTGACTCTTAGGAATTAGCATGGTTGTGGTTGAGAGGATGCTGAACATAGGAGTGACAAATAAAAATTTGGTCCAGAGTTGCACCCTATGAGGCAGACCTTTTAGTCTATTGGATGATGCCGTGGACAGTCTCATTGTGACCACTGTGTCTGAAGATGACAGAGCACTTGGTCATAGTGAAAGGAATTACTGTCCAAATATCTAGCATTGAAATCACAGTCCATAGAACAGAACAGTCATTAGCGGCATAAGTGTGAATTTTCTTATTATCTCAGTGATAAACTACAGCATACCAAGCATGATAATTATGTATACTTTAAGTTTTCTTACTTATAATTCCTTAGTACTTAATTTATAATTTTAATTCTATATTTAGACTACTGACAAATTATATGCATGCCTGCTGAATAGTATGTGAATATTCTTAGGAGAACTCTGTTTGGAATACCTTTTTCAGAATTAAGACATTTAACTAAATAAAATGGCACTTTTCTAAGGCTATAAATTATAAGATGGTCTTGTTAATGTTTTATCATTCTCATCTCCTGGCTCTCAAAACTGCAAAGGAGAATGATGGGAATTTGACTGTCATGTACTTTAGTTTTTGAGGTTTTATATTGATAGATTCATAGAAGCATTTAATCTTTGTAAAATAGGGAGACCAACCAGTATATTATAAAATATGTAGAAAACTGCAATATACTCTGTTGGTAGAAACAAGATATATTGTATTAAGAAATCGGGTATTTCTTAATATTAGACTAGTTTTACACAAGAAAAAGTGGTATTTAGGTAGTAGAATTTACTAAATTTTGATAACTTCAAAATGTATGTGTCTAGTTTATATTTTACACCTGAATCTCACACATACCTAGTTGCCTGCTGGGCCCAATACTCAGTTATCTGAAAGTAGACTGGCTATCCTCCCTTTACCCTCTGAGGAGTGGTTCTAGATTCCTTTCCTGTTTACCTCCATTGTATATCAGGAAGGTCTCTTTGCTGCCTGGAATGAGTTTTGCTGATATATACTGCATCTGCTTGCACATAGTGTTCTTTACATTTGGATTGTCTTTCTCACTTTTTTTCCATCTGAACACTATCTTTTCTTAAGAGCCACCCTAAGTATCCTACCCTGTGAGGTTTTCTTTAACTTCTTGCCCTGAACTCTGGGAGTTGATGATTCCCTCTGTCTGTCATCAACACAGCTGGTACAAACGTGTGTGCTTGTTACCTTTTCTCCACATTACTTTATGCCTGCACATGAAAATGGGATGCTGAAGTCTAAGGAAGTAGAGAGTTATGTGATGATGTGCCAAGGGAGGCTGTGGAAGGGATGGCTGAAGTCAGGAGAGGTAAAGGACATTAAGACAGAGATGAGGATGGCTGTCGGTGGGGTTCCTATAGTATTCTCATTGACAGAAAATGCTAGACACTTTTTACCTGGGTTTTATTTTAACTCAGCTTTGGGGCAGTAAAGAGTGGGGTGTCTTTTCTGAAACCTTGAACTATTGAGGAAAAAAGGTACAAATATAGTTAGTAATGTATTATTCATACATAATTAATTTGCTGTCATAATTTTTGCATTATATATTTTTATTCCTCCCTGCTTATGTAGACAAGATCCAGTCTTCAAGATATGTAGGCAAAAGAACTTCTGCTCTTCCAATGTAGGTTTATATGATATCCTATTTTTTTCCACAGAAAATTATTATTGTTAAACTAGCTTAGCTTAGTTAGTCCTGCTTTGTTTGGAACCCATACAGTTTCAACAACAGGATACAAGGCTGTAATCTTTTCTCATATTTTTTTCATTTTTTTTGGTGCCGAAGATTGAACCCAGGGCCTTGTGCATCCTAAGCACATACTTTACCACTAAACCATTCCACTAGCAAATTTCTTTTTCCATGTCAAGTATTATCTATATTTACAGACATTTCAAGTACTTGCTTCAACCTGTTGTAAAAGGGAAACAAAGCTACATATGCTTTGTGGGAAAATTTTACATTAAAAATACCTAAGCTGTCCTTTGGTTTTAGAATAGTATCTTATGGTTGGAACAGTGAATCGCAAGCCTTTCAGCTCATTGTGAATCTGAAAACTTGTCATTGTCAGTGTTAGAACCCTTTAATGCCTGCTTAAAATGCTTATATAAGCTTTATTATGGAAAATGTTGTTAAAAATATATGGAATCAAGCAGTATGTTACTCTTTTCAATACAGAATCCCAAGCACATGTTGTTCTTAAATTCTTGTCTAAATGGAGCCATCGTTGTTCTGGACTCTGTTTAAAGGGAAGAATATTGTCTTGAATTTTTGATGTTAATGGAGTTTGGCTTTTGGCCCAGGCATCATAATGTCATTTTGCTGCAAGCCATATTGAAAGAGGCACTTGTTAGAAATGTGGCTGATACCCATAGCTAACTATGAAAATTAATTAAAGCAGTTGTCTGATAGCCAGACCATTTCCTTCCAGAAATAGAACTAAGAACTTAAGTACTAAACTGTTGGCACATTTAAACTATTTTTAAATAAAATTCTACATTCATTCCAGTTAAACTTTATAAACTTACATTCCCCCAGATGTATAGTGAATGTTTCGCTGTGATATGAAAGCCTGTAACTTTTCTCCCAACACCAGCATTATGATAGAGTTCAATGAGACCTAATTTAGCTAATTGTGTATATTACAGGGGATCTGTTTCAATACCATAAATTCTTTTGGAGAAATGGAGATTTAAGACAGAACTGCTTTATATGTTTCACATTTGGTAACACAGTATGAATTGGGTTGAATTTGTTAACTTTTCTTACCTGGCTAAATTGGGGGTCACCAAAAACAAGGGATGGTTAAGTATTTGGAAAGATTTCTAACTCTGGGATCTTGGGGTTTAGCCTGAAAGTGAAGTTAGGAGAGATAGGTGCATTTTAGGGAAACTAATTATTAAAGAAAACAGTTATTCTAATACTCATTAAAACAGCAAGGCAGAGTTTATTTGGGATTATTGAAAATAGGTATAAGGATGATTGCAGTGAGGTTATTCAGTAGGCAAGAGAGACTGGGCCCAACTTGAATATAAGAAAAGTTTGAATTTATAGTCAAGAAGTGGAATGGGGGTCAGTGGATAGAAGGTTACAAAAAGGAAACACGGGGGCGTATTTGGGCAATTTTGGCCAAACGACCTACTAGACTTCTTGTTGAAGGCAGGCCAGGGTCACCTGACAATGCCTGCTGGACAGCAGTAGGTGAAGAGAACATACTCAGATACTAAGGGTGACCAGATATCAAGAATGGAGATCCTAGCTAATCCAAGCTAACAGCAGATTATTGCTAAAATTGGGTGAAACGTAGATAGATTGAGAAGTGTCAAAGTTAAGGCCTAATTGGGAAGAGGATTCAGAGGGGACTAATTTTAGTCAAGAGGAGTCTCTGAGAACTAGAAAATGGGTTTCTTAAAGGCATTTTGAGTTGTCATTGGGTCTGGCATGGTCAGAACCTTGTGAAGGGCAGCTGCACCCTCAGGCTGCTGCTGGTGCTGATTGTGGTTGCCTCTGTCTGAAAGGCATAAGTGGTTGGCAGGCTCAGTAAAAGGTGGTGGCCTTGCATTCTTTGGTACAGGGACTCAGTGAGATGGGGAATAGTTAAAGAAACAGGTTGGGGAACGTGGAACTTGTACTCTACTAGAATTTTTTGCAGGAAGCTGTCAGCACTTGGTGTTTTGACTCACTCAGTGCTGAGAGTGTACCTGACAAGCCAGTTAGAGGATTTAAAGATATGTCTTTACATTTGCCTTTCAAGAAAAGATGG